GGTTCAGCACCGCGGACAGCAGCTCGCCCTGCCCGACAGTGCCGGGCTCCGCGGCGGCCTGGCCCGGGCCAGCTCTGGGCCCGGCCGGAGGGTCACCTCTTCCCGAGCTTACATTCACCACGCCCTGCAAAGCCCGAACTGCCAGAGGTCTGGATGGACCAATGTTCCTCAGGAAGCTGAGCCTTGCCTCCTGGACACAGTGCTCCAAACTTCATCTTGGGTTTGTCTGTCTTAGCCAGGCACTAGACAGGAAATTGAGACCTTCCTTGTGCTCTGCCTTGGGCCAAGGGGAAACACAGTACTGCCATGGTCTCTGGAGAACAAAATTTGGTTGCATTGTCAATAACTTTCCTAGCCAGGAAGGAGGCAAAAGCAAACCAGCACTGTGGTGTGTGACCCAGCCACGATCAGCTAAGGGGCACATCGGACATGTGCCTCTCTGTCTGAAGAGGGAAGACAGGGAGGTGACCTTTCCTGTGGGCCTCAAAGGTGACTTTCATAGGGGATCCAGCACACCGTAACTTGGGGTATGAATGCTCATACCCAGAAAAATGTTTATGGATGTCAAGGGATGCCATGCCCTGGCAGAAGCTGAGCTGAATCCTCCCTGGGTTTGCCCTGCCAGCTGCGACAAAGACTCTGGGCTTTTTGAGAATATATTTCACTGGAGAAGAAACCATGACAGAAACAAATTCCAACAGAGGAACTCAGCCTGGAGGCAACACTCAGCTCTTGTGGGGCTAAGGTAGGACAGGTCAGATCCTATGGGAGGAAAAAGCTCAGAAATTGGCAGTGAGCTTTGACTCTGGCACTCCCACAGTTGTGCCTGTGCAGAGGGTACACCACTAGGATTGGGCTAGGGGTTGGGGGAAAATCCCCTTTGGCTTCCTCGGGGACATGGCCAGTGCAGAGGTGGCCCACTGAGGTAAGAAAGGGTAGGGAGGAAGGATTATCTCAAACATTGTGCCAGGCAGTCTGGAATGGGAGATGTAAAAGGGGTTCATACTAACCCCCTCTCCGCAAAGTAGCCATCTCCAGGGGTGAACAGCTTGCAGACATGTTCAAACAGAGCAGGAGGAGTAACTTCAAACACTTTGAAGTTACCCAGAGAAGGAGGGTTATCTTGGGCTTTTGCGCATATCCTACGCAGACAGTTTCCCTTGATGTGTCTGGTGTGGTCAACATAAATGTCCCTACATTTAACACAGTAGCAAACAGCTTGCCTCACTGCTGCCTGCCAGGTCTGATCTCACCGTCCACATAGACACACTGCATCTCCAGTCCCACCACATCCTCAGGAAGAAACAATCATATCTCAGGCAATTTCCACTCAACATCTGGCAATTGCAATTCACTCCCGTCTCCCAAATGAAGACTGACTTGGTGGGGATCTCAGGCCAGAAGGAAGAGGCCAGCAAGGAGAGAGAGATGCGTAGCATAGAGTCCTTGAACAGGCAAGACAACCTGGACTCCAGCAGAGAGGATGGCAGAGCCATGCTCAACTTGACCTTCACCCTCTGCAATGTGAAGAAGATTGAGCTCTCCAAGGCAGCCAGAGTCTTTGAGGTACAGACCTCACCATTCCCTTCCCCCGAACTGAACCCTCTCTTCTGTCCCTATTGCCTTCACCTCTCCCATCTGCATCTCTCTCTCATCCTTCTTCTGCTCCCTGCCTGACTTATGCCTCCATCTGCCTTCCCCCTTTCTCATTGTCCCTGTTTTGCTAGAGATGCTCAGAGAGGTTGGCTGGACTCTCCAGTTGAAAGAGTGCTCTGGAGGGAGGAAGAAGCTGGACAGAGTAATTTAGCAGAATCATCATTTTATGAGGGTTGTGGAGAGCAGATACCAATCTATTATCTCTCTCTAGCAGTTTTGGTGGCTAGCCACAACTAAAAAACAGGTCAGCATTTCAGCATTCTGATTGTAGGGATGTTACGAGCCAATGAATTTTCTCTGCATTTTTGGCAGGAGACACAGAGAATACAAGAGCTGTAAACCACACAGGCATTATATATTGTGGGCACTTGAAGTATCCCTACCAGGTGCTCATTCTCATCTGTGAAAATGAATAACTCAAAAGTATTTGTTACTTATTTTTAATTGTTTGCAATTATTTAATGATTATGGTGTTATTCTACATCAATAGATCTGCTTTCATTCTGCCAGGGTCTTAACAGTTACCCAGCAACTCATTTATTATTTCTGCACAGATGAAATGCTACAGCCAACAGTATCTCATCTTTCATCTCCACCTATCTCAACCTAATTCCACAGTGTTTAATCTTTAGCTCTGTATATATTTTAGCTCCTTCTAAACTGGGCAATATTAGGCTTCCTTGCTTAACATGCACTTCTTGTTAAGACCTCTTATAGTCATCTTTTAAAGACATTGTAGAAGTGTATCTAGACTTACCTGGATTTTCAGTCTTTGGAGAAGCATCATCATATCAGCATCTGGCTCTTGTAGATGTTTGAAACTCAGATCCATCACTTTGAAACCAGACGAGCCAAAAAGCCCAAGAACTCGGCTGACGATCTTGATATTTTTGTTGAATGTGAAGTCCACTGTGCTGATGTTAGTATCCTTATCATCTCCTTAAAGAGAGTAGCAGAGGATGTGAAAACTAGCAGAGAAGACAAAGGTAAGAAATGTATGCATCTGTTAGTGTTGTTTTGTTTCTTTTTGGAGTAAGCTTTTTAGCATTAGCTTCATAACAGTAATTTATTTAGTCTGGGAAAAAAGTTATCCTGAATTGGGCCCATTCCCATTGGTGTGGAAATGGAGGCACTTCATCATAGCCAGTGGAACTGAGGTGGGAAAAGTGTATCAGCAAAAAAGGAGAAGGGCAGAGCAACAACACAAGAAGTTGAGGGGAAACTGGAAACTCTTCAATGACAGGAAGATTGTGGGCTAAGTTAAGTGCTGTGCAGAGAACTGACTTCTCTGAAGCTCTGCAGAATGAACACAGACGCTTGTTGGGAATGCAGTGATAGTCAGAGGGTCTGAATATTTCATCTGCTTATCGTGTACTGCGTTGGTTTTATTAAAAGAAGCAGTAGCTGTCTGTCTGTGGTGTCCTGGCTACTGTCTTCTGCGTCTGGTAGGACTGTCACGAGGTAGATTTCTGCTTCACTGAAAAGAGCTAAATACAACAAGCTGTAAGAAGTTTCCAGAGTACAAGAGGGAGAGAGGGTCAGCAAAAAGTCTGTAGGTAGTGAGCAGGCTGGGAGAACCAGGAGAAATGTTTCTGATAGAGAATAGACCTGCTGCCATATCTGGAGTAACAGAGAATCAGGCATTTTCCAGGGCACTTGAGAAGCTTGTTAGAGGTTGTGCAACTTCAATGGTTGCACTTTAGGAACAGTATCTCACCTGGTAAAGTGCTGCAAGTGGCTACGCCACTGTCTGCACTGTATTTGAGTCACCATCCATAGCAATCATCAGGATGGAAAGTGAGTTTGCCAGAGGTAGACTGCTATTTTTCCTGTTTGCAGGTAGGTAAGATATCAGTGAGTACAAGTTGCTAGAGACCTTTAATACAAACCTGAGAGTACCAGAGTTGCCCCTGATAGATGAGAAGGGTGAGGCTCTAGCTCACAGGTTGAGTTCTCCAAATACAAAATTGCCATGAGGTTTTCCCATCCTGGATAAGGTCAGGCAGAATTCCCCAGCGCCCTTTTATAGTTAATACAGTCCTATTTGGACATCTTTGTGTATTGCTTGAAATTCACCTTCAGGCTAACAATGAGAAGCAGCTCATGCCAAGCTGTTATCAGAGCCTGTGGGGATATCAAATAGGTGTCTTTATTGTCAGGGAAACTGGAGACCCAAAGAGCATTTTGGGGCTGAAGAAGAATTTCTTTAGAATTTCCCTGGGAGCTGAGAGTTTTGTGCTCGGAAGTAGCTGTTAGTTTCAGATGTGCTGGGAATGGGATTTACATTAAAAATAAGGGACTGTTAAAAGATGGTACGTTTATGACTAAAGATGAGGAATATCAAGGACATAATTTTCTTCACATTTTCATTTTTCTTATGGTTTTGAACAGCAATCATAAAAGTAATAAGTTTTATTTTGGATTTCAGGGCAGCTAGCCCCCGAGTCTAAGGCTGGCTAGTGGCCCACTGTACTGGTGTATCTCATTGAAAGAGGCTAACTGCAGTTTCACTTTCCAGTGTGATTTGCAGATGACTGTGAGAGCATATTGTTAACTAAGTGATATCAAAGTTGTAAAAACATGCTTACTGGTCAGCAATTATTTTACTGGGAAGATGCAAGTATGTACATCCTGGCTACCCCTGTCACCTTAGGCTCCAGCTCCTGAATTAATCTATTTTTTTTTCCCACATGGACTTTTTATTCTTTTCTTCAGAATTTTTAGGTGAGCCAGACAGGCCTTCCGAAGAAGTTTGCTAAAGAACAGTAAAAAGACAATGCTTTGACCATAATGGCTTTAACCCAAATTAATTTTATACTCAGCTGAGAAATGCAGTGGTTATCTCTGCCTCATGGAAGCAGAGAGATGCAGCCAAACTGGCATCTGTCAGCACTATCCTTGTGTTATTTGCTACATCTATTTCTATGATCAGGACAAGGTTTCAGCCATGGTCCTTCCTTCCCTCTCTTTTAGCCTGTCTGCCCTCTCCCAGGATTCAGTAAGGAGTAGGCAAAATGTGTATGGGGACACACACTGGAGGGCTTATGGTCAGATACAGGTTTTGAGGAGATATGGCCATAAATGGCATTACAAGCATCCTGCATGCAGAACCACTGGTACAGCCAAAGACAGAGGCTCAGCAAAAAAATTCTGTAAGACATCTGTCAGACCAGTATTTCTTCCTTCTTATCACAGAATTGGTCATAACTGCATGTAAGAACTGGAATTTCCCATCATCATTGTGTATTTGTAGTCTTGTACCTTTGTGAAATGGCTGTTCCCAAGTATAAATATAATATAATAGAGAAAAACCCAAATTTGCCATTCAGTATAGAGATGTCTAGTTTCCTCTTGCCAATGATGAGATTAAGGTGACCCCAAACAGACCTTTTCTGGGCTGTAACACACCAAGTCTGGCCACAGTATCAGTCTGATCTCAGAAAGCACTATTAACTTTGTCTTTTTTTCAGTTGTTTTTGAATTCATTGGTTATAAATGCTGACACCTTAATTAAATGGGCACATTTTGTTTATTTTAGCCACTAAAAAAGCCCCCCACTTTAGGGGAAGGAAACTGTTTGGAAATTCAGCCAATGCTAGAATAATTTTGCCAAAAAAATTAGAAATGAGCCAGAAGGAAAAACTCTTGAAGTCAAGGCAATTCTTGGCCTGTTTTGTTTCTAGAAATTTTACGTTTTCCTTTTAAAATGCGGTTTTCACTTCCAAAGGCATGAAAATTTAAGACTACTTTTTAGACAGGATCAAAATATGTTTTTAAACCCAAAATGTAGAAATAAGTTTGTTGCGCTGTGTCAAACAACACCTCATTTGGCTTAATAGGAAAAGTTTTTACCTCTAAAAATTGTTCATACTAATTAAAAATGAGAGATTATCTTTGCAAGCTAGTTTCAGGTATTTTTTCATCCATCTACCAGTTTGGTCAGTAAAGAAAATCAACTGCTGGCATACGTTGACAAGTGGATATGAATATTCTTAGATATTGATGAACAGAAAGCTTGTAATCTTCATCACAACTTTTGTTTTCTGTGTCTTTGAAAAATTATTTGTTCCTATCTCATATAGCTCTTGCTTCTTTCTCTCCAGTACCCTGGTTCCCCAGAAAAATGCAAGATCTGGACAAGTGTCACCATCTGATCACTAAGTATGATCCTAGTTTGGATCATGGTCACCCTGTAAGTTTAAAGTAACTTTTTTAACAAAACTGTCTGTAAGGGAGAATTTTGCAAAGAAAATCTCATGAGTAAGAAAATACTCATGAAAAGGGAGAAAAAATGAAGGATCAGATTAAGGCTGATCTTCAGTGGAATTAGGGACTATAGAATGAATAGCTTAATAATGAGAAAAGCTTATGGGTCCTGATCCATCAAGGTACATGTGATTAACATCAGACACATGATGAAGTAATTTCTTTTCAATATATTCTTTAGTGTGATATAAAAAGTAAGAAAATACTCATGAAAAGGGAGAAAAAATGAAGGATCAGATTAAGGCTGATCTTCAGTGGAATTAGGGACTATAGAATGAATAGCTTAATAATGAGAAAAGCTTATGGGTCCTGATCCATCAAGGTACATGTGATTAACATCAGACACATGATGAAGTAATTTCTTTTCAATATATTCTTTAGTGTGATATAAAAAACAATAAAAAAGAAATGTAATCTCATTTATTTTTTCACTCCAGATATATTGAAAGTATGCCCACTTTTTACTAGCTGTTCCACATAAAAGTCACGTTCCCTAGACTTCTGCTTTTTGTGTTTTCTAAGTTTTGACCTTTCAGATATTCTATATCTACATTTTTAATTTTGCAAGTGCCAGGAGTCTCATTCAAGTGCAGATGTACAGAGGATGGTAATGAAGTCAAGTGGTAAGGAGCTAATAACTAATAAATACCAGATCCTCACATCCCACAGAGGGGAATTTTAATGTTTAAACTTGCAAAAATAGTCTAGACAGAAAATAAGATAAATACACACCAGCACTGATTCATGGATATAACACCTAAATTGAGATTTAAATGGGGCCAAAGAAGCTCAAAAAGTCTAGTGATTCAGTTGAGGTAAGCATCTAAAGTTTAAATAGGAAGCAAGTTAGAAAGTTCATAAACCTAATTTACATCTGACTTTTCACAAGGTCTTCAGAGACAGGATTTTGAGAATATTTATTGATACTACTCTGCAAAATATTGTTAGACTGTTTGTGAAGGGTCTTCCCTTGGATTTGGACAGTAAGTCTTGGTTACGAGTAGTCTGCAAATCAGGCTTTGCTCATAACAATTTTGTGTGTGTACTCTTAGCCTTGCCATAAGCAGAAACTCTAGTACAGATGAGAGATGGTACAGACAAATGAGGAACTCCAAAAGGCCATTTGCTGATTGACAGGGTAGGTCAAAGTTGTGTTCTGCCAAACATTGCACAGAAGTGATGTGTGAAAAGGAAAAAAAGTACAGTCTTTGTATGAAAAATGCAAGGAGGATTTAGTGGGGTGCCAACAGCATCTATAAGATTTTGTTATTCCCTTCTCTAAATGTCTGAATTTTGTTTGGACCCTTTTATTAACCTACACGTTGTTAATGTTAGCTATGTACAGTTCTCTGCAGTACAAGCCCACTTTCCATGTCTACCTTCTCTTTTTGAGAATCACTTATTAAAATATAATGGTCTAGAAGAGCTTCGTATTCTCCTTCACTGGCACATCTTTCATTCTTCCTCATATCTTTCTGATAGAAACCACCCAAGTATTTGTCATTTTTTCTGAGCTAGCTCTGAGGTTGTTTTCCATGAGATAAATGAATGCACACTGGGAATTCTTTGAACTGGACTAAGCTCCCCTCCTACTTTTCAAAATAGGAGATGTGAGCACTGAAGAGGATAAGAGGAAGCGTGAATGGTGCAGAGTTACCAAAGTTTCGTGTGGGGATAAATCTACAATGCAGAATGCAATGCAATATAGCAATACCTAAACTATCTTGAAATGAGTTAGCTCATGCACTGAAAATTATTAGTCTCTGGCAGGAGGGAGCACAACATAGAATCATTTACTGTGCTGCTGAGCATGGCTCAGAAATGGAAAGGTTGGAGGAAAGTACCAAATATGCTGACCTGCAGCAGAGAGTTTGCATATACATTTATTACCAAATAGGCAGTTTGGACTGTCCATCTCAACAGCTTCACTTTGTTCTTACTGTCTGTTTAATGGCCAGAAAAGCAAACAGATGACACTGTGACACCAGTCTCTGGGGCACCCTGGCTTTCATGGTCCCCCAGGGATGCTCCTGCTGTTCAGAAGGTGGGTCCAGAGCCCTGGAACAGCTGGGACAAAGCTGACAGGTCACAGCATCAGTGCTAGTTTGGACCAATGGCTTTTCCTCATGTTTTGCATGGACTTGTTACAGTGACTGACAAGCCAGGCTGGCATCTGAATGAACATATTATCCATAACACATGACAAAAATAAACATACTCTCAGGATCCAGTTCTTTCCTCAGACTCACGCACACAATACTCATTAACTGCAGTATTACTGGTATTATTGCTACACTGAAAATTATTTGAATAAACCTAAGGGAGAAATTTGGCTTGTAGTATGCATAGTGGTTCCAGTAAATTCTGAATATTTTAGAATAATAAATATTTGTACAGTGATGTTGATCAACGCTGCTTTATGAGTTATATTAGTAACACGGTGCCAGATTTCAGATTTTATTCCTATTATGAATGATGTAAAATTCCAAGGAATTCGATTCCACATTTCTATTCATATTTAATAGCTGGAGAAGCCTGTTTGAACCTCAACTTCTAGTAAACACTGAGGGGGCAAAAGGAAAACTCTGTTATTTAATAACTAAACTGCCCCTTTAAAGATATACCACTTTGTCTTTACCATAACATGGTGATAAATGGGCAAAGGGGGGATCGAGCTGAAAGTCTATACTTTCTACAGATTCAGGGTCAGTTCTAATGATTTCTAGCCAGTGAGGACCCCTTCTCGGGGCAGGGTATCATGCAGATGATGTGTACTTCCTCTGTCGAGGTGGTACTAGGCTTGGCACCACCATATCCATCACAGCCCTGTATTGCAACCTTCATGCTTAGTACAGGAAAGAAATGATTCAGAAATTCAGCTCTTCCCCAGCAGAAGTAACACCCTATTTCAATTCCATTTTAAACGTGATTTGCATTTAAATTAGACTAAGTGTAATGTTCTGTGATGAGCTTATGAATGACTCCAAAACCTTCCCACCGAGCTATGTTACTTTCCTTTGTGGTCACAGGCCCAAAATTTTCATCAAAATGTCTCAGATGTAACTGAGCGCAGACTTCAGCTTACCCTGTTTATAAGTCTCAAGATTCACTGCCTCAGAGAAACCAACCTAACTGACTCCTAGTTTTTCTGAATACTTCTCTGTTAGCAAATTTATGCCTACAAATCTCTCTTAATGGAAAACGTTTTGCAAATTATTTTCTAACTCAGGGATACGCCGACCTGGAGTATAAGAATCGGAGGGCATTCTTTGCTGAACTTGCCTTTAATTACAGAACGTAAGTACAAGGCTGCTGAAGAGACTTCGGCACTTCGCCTGCGCTTTCAGAAATCTTTGTGCACAAGAAATACCAGAAACTTAATCTTTTGTCAATGTATCAATGGGGCTACCTTTTAGAAAACAGAATTCAGCCAGCAAAGTTTTCAATCTACATGAAATACACTTTTCCTACAACACAGAAGTATATATTAAGATAAAAATCTTAGGATTGCTTTCATACCTCCTTCAGTGCTGCATTTTGTCTTAAAGGTGATTTCTCAAAATGACTCATGTCAATTTTGCAGTTCCTTTTGAGACTAGCTCTTGAGCTGAGGCTAATCTTTTTCAAGGAACTAGAAGGAACACCGTTTAGGAACATATTTTTAACAAAGAAAATAAAATTAATATTTTTATTACTTATTTGACAAAACGTCTCTAGTCATGTACATTAACTATCTAAAAACCTTTCAAGGTCTCATGTGTATGATTGAAAATGTTTCTGCCTTCATCAGAATCACACTGCTGTCAGATAGAGTCAATCAGGTGGAACTGGTTGTGGATTATCAGCCTCATGGTATCTGGTGAAATCTCCCAAGTCTTGAGAGATTTCTATTTGAGTACACTTTACTCACTGCCACCATATAGGACAGCTAGTCTAGCAAAACAGCATGAAAGCACACACCACACTGACTCAAAGCTACTGAAGAAGCAACATCAAGGGAGCGGAGACACCCATCAGAGAGGTTTGTGATGGCCACACAGTGTATGCCTGGGCAACTTGCTGCTGTCACGTTTATGAATCCTTCTCTGTAATGACACTGCACAGATCCTTTAGGGATGTACCCTCCAGGCACACACTGTGTTTTGGTTACTAGACTGCCTTTGGCAGAAGGAAGTGTAAACCTGAAGGCTTCTCTTCTGTCAAGAACAACATGGCTCTCTTTCTTGCCATATCCTTGTGTTTCCTCCCCACACTGGAATGGGGAAAAATTGCACACATTAGAGCCTACCAAGACAAAGAAGTTGTTGATTATGTACTATTTTGCCATTTATGTCTTCATTGCAGCAAATACTCATGGTGCAGACAAAGAAAATTATACTTGGAAACTGAACCTGAAGCCTGTTTTAGATATATGCATTATTTCCTCTCTTCATTACAGAGGAGACCCTTTGCCTCACATCGAGTACACAGAGCAGGAGACTGCAACTTGGTGAGTTTATTACTAAATACTACAACTCCTGGGCCATTCCACTACAGTCCCAGGAAAGACTGGCAGTGTGAGACAATTATAGCATTTTAAAACTATATTTACCCACTTAAAAAAAGTTTACTCCTTTGTTAAGTGTCACCTTTTGGTCATTTGTTTTGCAGAAGCTCATTCTCAGGCCTGGCCTTAACTAATCACTTTCTAGACAAAAATGCATTTTTCTGACCATCTCCCTGCCTGCCAATCACATCAAGGTATCAGAAGCCAGAATTTCTTCTAACTGACCTCTAATTAACCATATCTATGCTGGCAACAGAAATATCACCTTTCCAAATCTGTTGCCAGGGGAAAATACCCACTTGCAGGATGGAAATTCACTGAAAGGATGTGTCTAATCCAATGTTTGTAAAATGAACCAGCCTTGCCTGCTCTCCTTCAAATATTAATTGCTGTTGACATGAATAGGTATCATTCTCTTAACTGAAAGCTAAGACACATTTCCAGGATATATTATTCACACTGTAAACAGGCTTTTGATTTCATATGAAGTAATGGCAAGTTACTTTTACACAGGTGAAAAATTTCTTCACTGGGGCTTTTTTCTTTCTGAAGATTTGCCACTAAAAAAAAAAAACAAAACCACCAAACAAACAAACAAACAAAAACCCCCAAAAACCCAACAACCAAAAAACCCTGGCAACAAACCAACCAACAAAAATGAATTAAGTTCAAAGTATGTTTGCAGATGTTATGTGAAACATGCAGCAGATTTGGAAGAAAGCAGAGTTCTTATTTCATATACCTCTGTTTCCACTTTCTCCAACTAACTTAATAAATCTGAATAAGCAGCAGTAATTACACATTTGTATAATAATACAAACATAAATATGTCAAAATGTCCCAACTAAGAGCGGAGTACCAGGATTGTGCAAGGTGTCACATGTGCCCATAATGAGTCTTTCTTCAGCAAAGTTTACAATTTAGATACAAAGAAAACCTGAAGGTGGAAAAAAGGATGAATGATGACCACATTTTATAACTGTGGAACAGAAAAAGCTAGAGCTTAAATGATTTGCTCAAAATGATACACAAAGTCTATGTCAATGCCAGGAATTAAATCCATACACTAGACATTTCATGCCAGAACTTTAACCACAGGGGCATCACATCTTTTTCAGTGATTATTCTATTTTAAATAAAATCTACTGTGCCACAGAAAGCTTGAAGGGTGTTGCCCACAATCACATAGAAACCTTGCATCCAAGTCATCCAGGCAGTCACATTTTTATTAAGTTCAAATAGGTTTTTATAGCATCTTTCAATTGTTAAAGATTGATGGTCGGTGTCATGCTCATGATTGCTACCACTAGCCAACAATCTTGGCATGGGGTGGTGTGTGGGAATGACATATTTAAGAAAATTTAATTTTGTGTTCTTTCCTGTTTTTCCCTTTTGTTGCCAACCTCCGTCATTCCAGCCCTTCTCCACCTAGAATTAGTCCCGCTGTGGTAACAGAATAGGCCTTTAAAGGAGTATCTGCCCATTTCCCCAAACAGCCAGCCCCAGCAACCCAGGTTGTCTTGTTATGTAAAGCTGTTTCCAAAATTAGACCTCCCAGTGGTTATCAACCCCCCCTGGGGCTGTGCCTTGAGGTCAGCTGCATTACAGCACAACTTAATTGAGCACTGTGCAATTGAACGGGAAATTTGTAGCACGAATTAAATTCCCTTGGTGTTCACTCTGAAGAGTTGTTGGATGCCTTCAGTTTGTAGCAACATGGTTATAAAAATGAAAACTAATCAAGTGGAGAAATGTGACTTTCAGAAAACAGAGAGTACAGATGATCCGAGTTTCTGTTTTCAAGCAGGCTTCTTGGAAGGCCCTGAAACTAAGTAGTCAGAAAAGATGTCGTATGGATAAAAGCTATATGAGAAAAGGGAGAATCTAGGACAAAATTATGGGCACGCACCTGTCTAAGCTTCATAATAAAGATGAAGAGTGTCACTTTTTTCTAAAAGAATAAGGAAATTTATATAAAATAAGGTCATTGCCTTTAAAGTCTTTCAAGTGGCTGGATCCATCCTTGGTTATGAGGCTCCTTTCTAGGGTATTTAATATCACATGCTTTCATCAGTTTCTATTTCCATCTCTGAACTGAAGTACTGTCAAGTAGACCCTTAATCGTCCTTTGAGTGATGGCACCTCCATACTGTGAGGCATTACACCTAATTGAAACACTACCTTAGGACAAGCCAGATTGTTGTCTGGAAATATCTGCTACTCCATTGACTTTGGAGTGAACTTAGATGATTGCCTTAGGGGTACTTGGAGAGGAGGACACTTAGTTTTGGATAATTTATCACTAGTCTCTGAGACTACCTGCATTTCTCTGGTAGTCAATGTTTGGACACACGGTAGAATGGTAAAAGAGACCATATGTGCAGAAGTGTAAACAAGCCTGGTCTCTCTAGACTCCAGTCTGGGGATGAACTGTGTACTGGTTCAGATGCTATGCAACCCCACTGAAGTCAGTAGTATTCTATGGGGAAATAAGCCAGGGCAACACTTGAACTCTAGTCCTCCTCATTTTTTCCCAATTCTTCTATGGAAATGGCCCAGTCTCCTGCGGCTTTTGCAATAGTAACAGCAGCCACTGTTTCCCTCTGTTCTTTTAATTTTTTTTCCTCCTAAGGTTTTCCTGCCCCCCCTTGATTCTGGTTCATTACTCCCACACTGTTCAAGACATTCGTACAAATGAAGAGAGGCATTACCAGGGACTGGCTATCACCTCCATAGCAACAATAGCATCACAAAAAAAATACAATACAAAAACAACAAAAGGTCATTTTCCGTAGCAAGCATTTCCAAGAATGATCTCAATTTTCATAAAACAATGTTTATAAAATTGTTAACACCCTAGGGCTATGTCTGAATAAAAATAGCCATTTCTATAAGGTTCTTTGCCATCCTATTACTACTTGTTTATTTTGCAACTGCTAAATATATTCCAAACCACAGTTCTCAATCCAAGCACCATCAAGTTTGGTAAAAGCTTGAAGCCTGTGCCCAAATCTGGTTATATATATTTGTCTTCAGCTGGCCTGTATTTGTATAATGGGCTAAATGCTTCAAGAAGTTGGCATGTCTTTCAAATACATAACCCATGCCAGGCATTTTGAACTGCAAAAGCATGAACCTCTTTGTCTGCCCAGATGTTACTCTTCAGTATCAGCAAATGTGCTTTTTCAGGAGGTTTGTAGAAGTCAAATATAGGCTAGGTTTCAGCATGGAGTTGCAGGGACCAACAGTTCAAGTTGTACGCCCACATAAAGACAAGGGGAACACCTGACTCATTTCATCCCTTAACAGTACAACACAGATACGGCCACAGCCTCATCTTTCTCCCTGGCACTTTTGACACCCTTATAGGTAAGCAAGAAACACTTCTGAATCGAGATTACAGTCCTGTTATGTTAAGGAAAGGTGTAGGAAGGGATAAAACAGATTTGCTGAACAGAACTCACCTTCTGAAGGAAAAGAGAAACAAAACCCCCTTGTGCTTGGCTACATCCACCCAGGCATTGCCTTCCAACTAGTAGGGGTCCTGGGTTCAGATTTTTAGACCATTGCTTACACTGGGGGTTTATGCCTCTCTGTGGATCTGTACACAGGGCAGAGAAATACTGCCTTATTGAGGTGGGTCACGCTATATGACTTTTTGTGTTTCAGGAGAGAAGTCTACAGGAAGCTGAGCAGCCTTTACCCTACTCATGCCTGTACACAGTACCTGGATGCTTTCCAGCAGCTGGAGAAATACTGTGGCTACAAAGAGGATAACATACCTCAACTTCAGGATGTCTCTAGATTTTTAAAAGGTTAATCATTATCAACCATGGTTTATTCTAGTGTTTCCTGGATATGTATGCACACCACATATACATACACAAACCATCTCAAAGTACACAAGCTGGTGAGCAGAGGTGATTAGTTTCCTCGTACAAGATGAGCTGTGGCACAGTATATTAATACCAGGCATATCTAAGGACCAGCCTGTAAGTTTGTGTTTGGTCTGTGAGTAGCTGCAGTTGGTGTAACATTAACCAGCAAATTCCTGTACTAGCAGCAGTATAGCCACAGCAGGATGCTGCTCAGCGAGACTTCCACGCATGGATTTTCTATAGGTTTGGCTGTACTTTATGCTTCTGTATCTGTAATTTATATTTCTATATCTGTACACAAGTATAGGTAGGTATATACCTCTCAAGTCCACTTTTTTCTGATGCATGAGACAGGATGGCAACATATGCTAGAGGAAATAATTTCCAGGAGGTCCTGCTAGTCAGTCAAGAGCTGCCTTGAAACAACACTGCTTCTTTCTGTCTTGCCAGAATTAACTCCTTGGTACTTACCACATGGCCAAGAGGAGTGCAGAAAGGCTGTAGTGTGAGTCTGTAAATACATGAAGATGTAGCCTTAGATGAAAGGACAGGTACAATTGATAGACTGCCCTACCTGCTGTTAACTGAATTAGCTAGAGGACAGGAGAACTGAGCCTGCATTCTTTTTATGAGGCCACAGGCTGGGTGGATTTTCAAGGCCAGGTGCTTTGTGTCAAACAGCTGATTTCATTCTGTTATCAAGAAGGACTAAAGAAAGGCAGTCTTTAAGGCTCCCTTGCTCCTTGTCAGTGACATGGAGATTTGCCAGGGAGCAGAGGACAGCTGATCACTATTCTGAAATAAATAATAAAAGGTATGGCTTAACTTTAAATAAATTTGTTTTGAATACAATGCTCATGGAATTAAGTGACCTACTCTACATCTCAGTATATAATGTTAGTAAGCTTGAATGAGCTTTCTGATGCTGAAGAGGTCTTAGGGAAGATTAAACTGATAGCAAAGATTTTGCTACACCTTTAGTATAAGGGAATGGAAAGTTGGCATACAAAAAACATCTCTCATAAGAATACCAACATCATCACATCGAGCTGTAGGAATTTTTCTGTGCATGCATTATGTTTTTCTCATGTATTTTCCCTTGTGTTCAACTATCCATCTTACTTCCCTCTACAGTAACTGGGCTGATAAATATTTCTTCTCGTGAAGTAGTTGATCTCATCTCATTTACACAGTAGCTGACAGCAGGGAGTTGAAAAAATCATGTGATGTTGATTTGATTACCAAAGATATTTATATTCTTTAAGTGAATCAGGTGATTTTGAAGTAGGAAAACTTAGGATAATATGAAAATATCCTTTATAACACTAGTTGTACTGCTCATGTAGGCTGACAGGATTTGATTGCCTAAAGTTTGGGGTGGCTCACTTCTTTTGTAGGCTCTGATTCTAAATTTTCTCTATAACATACAAATTATCCTAAGTAAAAAAAAAAACCCACAGTAAAAATGGTCATCCTGAAAATTCAGCTAATAATTGTTGGGAAGATGTTCACAGTGAGTTTCAACTCATCTACTATAAAAACAGGGTGTCTACTATGAGCTAATTATCCAAACCATTCTGGCTGGGAATGAGAACCAGGCAATTCAGAGACATTTTATTCCATCCCGGAATGGGTGTTTAAGGAAAATTGAAAGAATGACTCTTAAGAGTACTGGTCTTAACATTCTTAAATTGTAGATAAAACCTAGATTAGTTTAGCTTAGAGGCTTTGTGAAAGATGACAGATAAATGGAATGAAGTTGGTACAAAAAATGTTTACAGCTAGACACAATTAAGAGTAAGCTATTTTAGTCCCATTATATGGGGCTTTGAACTGATATCTTCCTTATCTTCAATGATTCCCTCTAATAGGGTAATTTTACTATGCAGAGTATTTTCCAGAATAGCATGAAGATTGACAGTATTGAAAGGTCCCTTTGTAATAAACCCAGTCTAAGAAGCATCTGCAAGGTCTGTAAAATTTGTGTTAAATCTCATTCCAATCAGCTACTGGGTGAGGGCCAGGATTTGTAAGTTCTTCTAATTTATTACTAATTTGGGTGGCTTTTACTACCAGCATCAGCAAGGCCAGAATTTTGCTCCTTACAACTCATCAATCAACTGGGTGCTTAGGCTCTTTCCTGTATTACATGTGTTCAGTGCTCAACCAAAAAAAACTCAACCAAACTATAGGCAGTGAGGTATCTCTCAAAATTCCTTGGCATTCAGTGGATGTGTTTCGGCTACTACTACCTATGTAGAGATGAATAGTGCAGTTCCTTCTGTCACTGGTTAGCTCTGAACTATCCCACTTACCTGTTAGGACATAAATCTCAGCACATATTTGTTGAACACTACCTCTAAGAATTAGATCATTCTTTAGCATATGTGATGTGAAGCTTTTATATAATAAAACTATAGGGATACAGAGAGAGAGAGAGGAATCTCCTGGAGAGAAACCAGCCAATACAGCCAGATAAACTTCCATCTTCTCTTTGCAGTATCTGTGAAGTCAAGCAAGCAATTCCTTTTGACACAATACACGTTGAACTACAAATTCTGTATAGTGTTATCTGGCCTGCTAGTGAGGCTGGTTTGAATAAAAGGAAACTCTACATCATAAGATTTCATAATTACTTAAAGGGATTTAAATGGTTTAAGCACATGACCGTTTAGCATGGCAAGTGTTTTTCTAAAGGGTTAAGTAGATGAACGTAGGCGCATCTTTCTTTCTAGGAAAGATGTTTGGATTTAGGCATTCATTGTCCTCCACAGCTGGAAGAAATTACAGCCAGTGAACTCAAGTGAGCTCGTACTAAAACGCACAGGCCTGTATGCATGATTTTTTTTTTTTTTAGGCCAAGAGTTAAACCTTGCATAATACTTTAGGTCAACTGCTCAAGACCTTCTCTTCAACTCATTCTGATTTCAGAGATCTTTGGGCAGCAGGTGCAATCAGCTCCCCACCCCGTTCTCTACTGATTCCTGGTTATATTGTGCAGTAATGAAACAGAAGTTCAGATTTTGCAGATACTACCTTCAGCAGATAAGTTTTTCCTATGGCTTTTCAAGGCAACCGGCCAAGTCTGTTTCATTAACAGACTGTCTGATTCACTGGCCTATATTTAAAAGGGCATCTCAGGGAACATAAGCTGTAATTTTCATTTTTCCTCCTGCTTCTCCAACATGGATGCTAAAGCAATATCAATTTCCCTAGACTTTTTCATAGTCCTTCCAAAACTGAGTTATGTAGGTCTTGGTGCTTGTCTGATATATTTTTCAGCTGGTGCTGTTTTCACTTCATTCAGACTCAGAATTTACCCCAAAGATGACCAGATTCTAGGGTTTTTACATTTCTCTGGATTATCTTAGTATGGCCTCAGCAGCAAGGGACTGCCCTTCTCTGCCAGCTTCTGGCTGTGCCAAAGACGACATAGCTGACAGTCTGCCTATTCCCCCAGACACTCTGCTTTCTTAACTGGGGTGTGGGGACAATAGTAAGCTGCTTAACCAGGAAATTGGAAGTAGTTATAAACTCTGATGCTTTTGCTCAGCATATAGACAAAGATAAGGACATAATCTTCATAGGTTTATTTGCTGCTGTTCAGCTTTTAGGCAGTTCTGTACCCATTACCTTTGAATTCAGCGGAACAATAAAAGAGAACCATGGCAAATGCTAAACACTTAGTCACATTGCCAGGTAGAAGCATTCCTTGCTGTCTATTCTTTTTTTCATTCTGTATAGCTTCAGATGTTTTGTAGCTTCTAATTTTTCCAGTGAAGCCTTTTTTTTTTTTCTTTCCTTTCTTCTCTCTCTTTTTTTTTTTTTTTTTTTCCTCAAATATGAGAAGTGCTAATAGCCTGACAGAGCAGGACAAGAAATGCTGGAAGAAACATTAAAACCCAGACCAAACCAAATCTTGTAAATGGCTTGGTTTCTGGGTGGGATGTTTTGTTTGTTTGTTTACATAAAATAAATTAAGTTCCAGGCTTCATGACACAATAGTATATGGATAGAGAAGGGAGAATAAAGCCATTTCTGATTTCTTAAAAAATGTAGTTTTGTCCTTTAAAGAAGATGAAATGTCATTTATGGGAGCTGAGAATGCAACACAGATTTTGAATATAAGACTTCAAAAAGATTATAATTGGCTCTCTTTTAAAGCAGTGATTTTCAATATTTTCAGCTTTGCGGACCACCAACATGTTTCCCATGGAAATGCAGATTATGTAGTCTGCTGACCATAGGACTGCTTATTTTGTTAGCTGTGTCTACAGACCTTTCATAGTAATGCAGGGTGTCCTGAGGTAACACTGATAGCACAAGCTGAAATCATGGTGCTAAAGTATTGCATTCTTCTGTCCTGTTCTATGGACACATGCGAGGCAAAGCACGTACAATCACATCACTAGGAGCCCATGTAGTTAGTTCTAGACAAGCATAATAGGGAAAACAAAACAGAGGGGAAAAATAGGTGAGAGCACTGATGGAAACTCTGATTTTGAACGGTTAAGGGCCAAAATCCAACACTCTTATCTCTGATGAGGACCTGTTTGCTCTTTCTCCTGCATGTTCCCATTCTAACAAAGTCCAGGAAGAAAGATAAAATTGATAGCAAGGTTTGCCAGTGCTGAGCTAGTTTATACATGTGGAGCATGTACTGATAAGGGGAAATGAAGTTGAATAGTAGGCTCTGATTCTACCTCTGGGCCAGGTTGAACTCAGCCCATTGAGGAACAGAAAAATTGCCCAGGCTGGAGCAGACCCATGTCCACCTACTCCTGTTGTCAAAAGTGCAAAGTACCAGGGGTTTCAGTGTAAGAGTAACCTAGGATCAGGTAAAAGCCAGGTGCTCTCAGAAAAGGGTAGGGGTGGGGTGTGGGCTAAAGAGTAACCTAGGATCAGGTAAAAGCCAGGTGCTCTCAGAAAAGGGTAGGGGTGGGGTGTGTTCCTCATCAAACTCCTGTTTTTCTTTTACATGTGCTACAGGGGAAAAGAGAGAGCACCAGAGAATGCATAAACTAGCCAGGACTGAAAATGCAGGTTCTGTCCCCTGCTAGATCACAAGGATAATGTGTGGCCTCAGATATATTGCTGACATGTGGGACATAGTACGTGTATAAGTGTAAAAGGTAAACTGGGGTAGGCAGTACTTCTGTACCTCACATCACTGCTGTGTGAATATGTGTCGGTTGGATGATTTGATTTACTGTTACAGTAATTGAACCTTTGATAGTGATGAGTCAGAATGTTCCTGCTATGATTATGTGGAAGGAGCTACTGCAACAGAGCACAAAGGCCCTCTGAAACTGCTTACCTGAAGTAAATGTGCCATGTAGTTAAACCTAGAAACTTCTAAATTTGGTCTCACTTCCCTTTTCAGAAAGAACAGGCTTCCAGCTGAGACCAGCTGCAGGCCTGCTGTCTGCTCGTGACTTCCTTGCCAGCCTGGCATTTCGTGTCTTCCAGAGCACACAGTATATAAGGCATTTCTCTTCTCCTATGCATTCCCCAGAACCGTAAGTGTGATGCCCTGGCACAGCCCTGTCCTTCTGAATGTGTTGGGGATGATTCTCTTGGGAATGGCTCTGGAGCTCTATCCAGTAGTCCACAGAATGAAACAATTTGAGAAACTGGTAGCTGGAGAGTTGGAAAGAGAAGTCATGCATGAGAGGGTGTGGGTCTCTGTCGCTCTTGCAAAGTTGTCTGGGGAAGGAAAAGACTGGAGAATATCTGGTTTAATCTTTTCATCCTGCCTTCATTTACCATCTGCTGGGGTTTGATTCCCCACTGTGAAACTCTCCCAGTAAGTGCTGGCCAGACAACAGCAATTACATTTCATGAGAAATTACAAGTTCACACAGACGTTTTTGTTGTATGCTGGGACAAAACAGGGGCCTTTCAAAGATGTTGTGACACAGGAGACTAGTGCCCGTGCCATCCCAAGTGAGACAATAGCCATGGTAGTGGGGGGCATCTGGCTCCCCATGGCAGGCAGACGGGAATGCTCTGTCACTCTTCCTGCAGAGACAGACCAGGTATGGAGGCAGCTACTGCAGAACAGCCCTCACACTAGCTCCCTTTGGGGGTCTAGTGGCTAAAGTAATTCATGGCACATTCATGTAGGTTAGGAAAAGAACCTTTATTAAACATGAACATCACTTGTTTTCCAGAGACTGTTGCCACGAGTTATTGGGTCATGTTCCCATGCTAGCTGACAAGGATTTTGCCCAGTTCTCACAGGTAAGAAGCTCGTTCTGACTGTTTAACCAACTGCCCTAGATAGCCGGCCAGACGTGCCTCAAAAGCATGCAGCTCACCATGCTTGAAATGCTATTTTAAGACTTGATTGTGCCTGAGTCGCAACCTCCGGGGGCGGTGGACTAGCAGTCCACCCCGGGAGACGCCTGGGAGACATTTACTCCAAGGGAGGGGTAGCACTGCTCTCTATGGACATCCTGAAAATGGAAGGGCAGGCAGTGCTTGTGGTACTCCTCTGTGGGAGGGCTGTCAGGCAGCGGTGGTGGAGCCTCTGTGGTGCTGCGTGTCCGAACTGTGCTGACCGCGCTGTTCCCCTGGCTGCCTGTCCTACACCACATGAACTGAACCAGCAACAGCCATGGAGCCCCAAGGCTGATTCTGTCTGTGGATGTATGTTTTTATCTCATATGATACTTTAATTGTGTCCATCACCATGTCATTCATTAGAGATGTTTTTCTTTTACAACTCACCAGATTCTCACAGCATTGGTCACACTGGTGAGGAAGCTCCAAAAAGCAAATAGGGTTTCTTTGTACAATAAGGGTCTATTTAGTACAAAAAGTCAGTGTCAGACCCAAGTGAACTCAATGACCCTGTACAACTAAAGACTTCAGAACTATGAATGTGCCTTAAAACCATAGCAGAGGGAAGAAGGCAACCCATATTCAAGGCTTATCAATCAGGGGCAGTGTGGAAACTGGCAATAAGTGCAGAGGGGTTACATTATGTAGGTCCCTGTCAGAATATCTTAAAAAGGAAGTCAGTTCACCTCATATAATGTGGTTTCCAGTTGTATCGACTTGAATACTTGTCAGTTTCCATTTTGGTTGTAAATATTGGTTATTATCAGATTAAGAAGAGTAATACTTAAAATAACCTAGTAGTCTATAATTTCTTTTGGAAGAAACCTCCTCAGTTCAGTTCAATACCAGAACTGAAAACACATTAGAAACAAGAGATTATAGCAATTTAAAAGCTCTCAGCTTTCCTCTTTTCCCATCTGTAATACAGACTATACAACATGGGATCACATTAAATGAATTTTCACATTTCAATTTTTTAATTTTTTTTCCACAAAGGAATTTAACAATTGAAATTCACTTCATGAAGATTCTTTTTAGTTCCATTCAATATGAGACGATGAATGGTGAAAATGCCTTGATTTTGTTTGTTTGCTGCATGATATGGCTCCCAGGATAGCTAAGAAGAGGCATCTACAGACTCCTGTTGTGAGAATAACAATTAACTGGGAGCACAGATGAGAGTAAACAGAATCCTCCCTGCACAGATGTGACCCACTCATAAGGGCTGTCAGAAAGAGAGTGAGAGACAGAAGGGTAACGGCAAAGATAAAACCCAGCTTGCTGTCTTTCCTTCTCATGCCTCCCTATAAATCTCTGCCAGAGATAGTCCAGCATTAAGGCAAGAGATGGTTAACTTTACACAGAGAACACTGAGGATTAAACAATCATCTAATGTGGCTCCCAGTGGTATGTACCTGGGGGCCAGGGAGAGGTAGGCATCCTGGAAGCCATGGAAGGTCATTTTGGGTGATAAAAACAATGAATAGATCATGCTATTCATGCTAGAAATGATGTGGTCCTCCCCCTTCCCTTCTTTCTCTCCCTTGGGCTGAATAATCACACTAGTGTAACACTGACTGCATGCTTACTTGCTTTAGGATATTGGACTGGCTTCTCTTGGATCATCTGAAGCGGAGATTGAGAAACTGGCCACAGTAAGTACAGATGGCAGTTTAATATCAGAGGCAAAACCCAAACGATTCACTGCATATCCCTTACTGTGCAAGGAAGGCTCTTCTCTGGTGTCTCAGATTAGCTACAAAAATGGGAGCATCAGGATTGTCTCTTCTCATCCACAGGTTAGGAGGTGCTGGAGAAGGGGCTGAAGTAATTCTGGGGGAGGCCAGAAGCATGGATTCTGCCTGAGGAATTGCTTATACTTTCTGCTTCTCTTAGAATATATTGCTGAAGCTGAGTTTCTACAATTTCAGCTATGGGAGGGCCCAAACATGTTTTCCAGATTCACCTGGTAGGCTGGATACCTCATGTGGTTCCTGCATTTTCTCCTACACAAGGTGCAGGGGACCATCACAATTTGGTGTACCCTGCGTACATCTGCCAATACAACTCATGCAGTCCCTCACTGCCACCTTGACTTGCTCTGAAAGTGGGCTGGAAGCCAGATCCTTCTTCTGACAAAGGCAGCCATTTCCCAGTCTTGATGATTTCTCCAGGGAAGGAGAGGAGCCTTATCCTCATTCAGCTGGATGAGGCTCATTTGGGAAAGGGGGTGGGTGAGACGAGACTCCTGAAATTCCTCACCCAGCCCACAGCCCCACTCATTGTGAAGTGGAACAAAGTACTGTGTGAAGGAGATTATGGCTTACTTAAAATCTATCTACATGTATCCATCCTTGGGTCAGAACTAGGTAAGACCGGAGGTATTCTTAGAGTTGGGGGTACAAAAGGCCCCAGTGCTAGATTTTTTTTGTAGCATCATCCAGGTCCTGGGTTGGTGATGTGAGGGGGTTGTGTGGGAAGAGGCAGTGACATGTTCACATTTCCTCTGCAGTTATCCCCCTCTGGGTCTGGAGAAGCTAGAGTAAGATTAAGATCCATGCTTTTATTAGGGTTAAAAGAATTATGTGTCCCAGAGAGTCAGTTTGCATCATTACCCAGAACTTGGGGAGACTGGGTGAAGGCCAGTGGCTTACGTAGCATTCCCCTACACGCACCGCTCTCTGACCATGAACTGGATAGGGCTAGACCAGAGATTGGGTTAAGATTATAAGAATGATGGGTCTCAGATCTGAAACTGTCATAGTATCTTCTAGGGTTTGGGGAGGTAGAATAGGGCACCTTTTAAAAAGGTTACCTGAAGTTTAGGTTTGGTGAGAATACAATTTTGCAAGCGCTCTTCAAGTATTCTGAACAGTAAACATATTCTGGATTATCATCTCAATCTTCAGTTGTTTTAAAGTTAGACATCTAATTGAGGTTTATTGTTTAAGTTCCTTCCCTAGAAAGTGAAGATAGAGAAGAACTTGTAATGTGGTCTCTATCCTGACATAGATGTCTAACAAATTTTTTTCTCTCTCTGGAAGTCTGTCATTCTCAGTTCGTTACAAAGAGAATGTAGGTAACTAGCTTAGACGATATGACAAAATTTAAGCTAACTAAAAGTTTATTTAAAGAATCTCAGCCTTGCTTGTTGCTACGGTCTATAACATTTGTAAGACAAACTTTGGAATGCCGTTATTTCATTCAGTCTCTGTACTTCTCTAAGCAGGTGGATTTGTGCACAAGAGATTTGTGCACAGTGTTCATGTTGTCCACAGAGTGCCACTAGTACCATGTCTTGTTAAGGCAGTGAAATCCAGAAGAACCTCACTACTAATAGCCAAAGACAGGATATCTGGAAATAGTAAAAAGAATCCCTCCTCCTCCCACGTCTCTTTTTCCAGTCAAAAAGACCTTCTGCAAAATGAGGAGATACTTGAAAGACTTTTCACTGTGAAATAAGAAGAATCAAGATTATTAAACCAATAAGAATGAATATTTATTAGCTGAACTGTAGAGAAAGCAGCTCAGGATTCTGCAGAAAGGTCTTGTTTCTTTAGTGGTAAATTTGCAGGCTGAAACCAAGTCATCAAAGTTATAAGTCATAAGAAAAAGGTGGGGAGAAAGAGGGAGAAAGAAAGAAAGAGGCAGAACAGACAGAATAACATAGTGTTTCACATTTTTTTACAAACTGCCTCCAGTTCTTTGAGAAGGGTGCTGAGAATGCAACACTTATGGCTAAATGGAAGCCAAGGTCCAGCCCTGTGTATGGGGCAGTAAAGAGCTGTGTGTCCTTAAAGGAACCTTAAAGAGCTGTGACACAAAGCCGTATTCTTAAAGTGCCTCATGTTTTCCATGTTCTTCTTTTGCACAACACCTATCCAGCAGTTCAGGGGGCAGACTGTGTCCAGAATTTGTCCTCCACTCTCCATTTGCTTATATGCTGTAATAAGGGAAGGGCTAACAGGTCAACAGAGCCAAGAGTTGCTTTTTTCCCCACTACTCTGCAGCAGGTAAAGGAAGTATGGTCCTAAGCATCCTTTATTGCAAGAAAAGCCAGGAGAGATGTAACTTTATAGTCTACTGGACCATGATAAAGATGCCATTGGTGTAATCTTAAAGGGTACATTGCTGCTAATGATGTCATTCTTCTGAATGCTATCATACAGAAAAAAGGTGGAGGAAAACTCTTTCCAAAGTACCTTTCTCAGGATCTTGAACCCTCTGCAGCGGTCTACCTGTCCTTCTGGGGATTATGGGTTGCAATCTGTCAGCTACCACTTACTATAATGAAGCTTGCAGCGTAATTTCTAACATCTTCCAAAGAAAGAAAGGGATAGGACTTTATGACTTTATTTACCCCTGTAATTATAATTAACAATTTTTTTTTTTTTTGGCGGGGGAGTGAAAAAGGGAAGGATGGCAGGTTTTGAAAAAAATATTTGTTACAATTTGTGTGTGTTACTAAGGAATAAGGACAAACATGAAAGGAAAACTCAGAAGCTTAAAAATGATCTGCCTGTTGAGGTTGTTTTTTGCAAATTGTTCTTATTACCAGCTTTATTGGTTCACTGTGGAGTTTGGTCTCTGCAAACAAAATGGATCCATTAAAGCTTACGGAGCAGGACTGCTTTCATCTTACGGGGAACTTATGGTATGTCAAATGTATGTTATTGAAATACTTCTATAATGCAGCTTTCTAAACTCTCTGGTAGAAGCAAAATACTATTTCCCCACATAAAACAATATGATTTAAAACACTGACTTTTTTCTTTTGCAAAGAAATTCATTCTCCCTTTCCAGAAGCTACTGAGTAGGGGAAAACTACTGTAGGATTGTACCTATCTGCCATCTAAAGAGATGAAGTGCAACAAAAGCAACCAACCCTGTGAAGAATTATATTTGCTTCTTACTGCTCCTGCCCAGTAGTAACAGTTGACTTTAACGTAAAGCCCATGTACCTTTCTGAATTACTCACTAGAGGGCAATATTATGCTTGTTATGAACTCTGCTACTTTGTCATGCACTTATGAATCAGAAAGTCTCTGACTGGACCAAATAAAGTATGAAGAAACTAAATAGCATGGACACAGATAAGAAGAAAATGTTTTAGAATTTTACATTCCTGAGTAGGTTTCAAAACTAATCCCAGCTTGAGATTTATATAGATGAATATCTATGTACACAGGTTTGATACTGCCCTGCCTGGACAGAGCAACTGTGAAATGAGGGACTGTGCACCTTCACAGAGAACTTACGGGTTTCTCCTCTTTTGGACAAACAGTTGGTAGGGGAGATACTATTTCTCCTCAGTTTTGTAGAGCACTGAGGCATATGGGCAGTTTCTAAGCCCTAAACCAGTATCAGCAGGTTTCAATTGCCTCAGGTTGTGCAGATACTAGATGATTTTTTGGAACTGGAAAGAGCCAAAGGAAAATCAAAAGGAATCTTTTCAAGCACTTTCATAAATTATAAATCAATGTTTTCATGGGAGATATATTTTAAACTTAACACATATACATAACTGCCTAACAGCCAGCTACATGATACATTCACATGGAACCACAGCTGGATTAGCACAGCTTGGACTCCCATAGCTGGAGATAGTTGTATTGTTATGACAATACACCTATCACAAAACTCTCCTAATGGTATACAGGTCAGCCTCCTTCCCATTCCAGTGACAGAAGGAAGAAACAACATGTTAACATAAATCAAAACATTTATAATAGGAGTTCTAACAGAGACATAGTTGGGAGTTACCATACAGAAAGCTGAACCTTCCTGGACATCAACCTTCATTTTGTCACGTGCTGAGTTTAGCATTCATTTTCTCCCAGTGCTTTAAGTTAGTGCTGGTTTTCTCCCAACACTTGCAATTTGGAGACTTTTGTGAGCAAACTCTGTGGTATATGATTTGCAGAGCTTTCTTTCTTGATAAGCTGAGAGATCTGCATGCTCATTAGCCCCCTGAAGAAATGAATACGCCTTCCTTTCTAGGGGAACCTGATCTTGTGCCTGACTGCTCATGAACATGAGCAGAACCATGCTAGCACTATTGTGGCACTCATCTGTAGAAAGTGAAATGTACTGTTTTGAAACAGCAGATCAATGAGCTGCCCAACAAATCAGGCTCCAGTGCAATGCGTTCTGTTTACATATCTATCTGTTCCAGGGTAAGGCTGAAGCTACTGCTTTTCTGAGAATCCTTCAGTACTTGATATATTCACAGCCAGCAAACAGGAAACCTAGGCTTGTGTGCTGGGTTCAGCCAGGA